AATATTAATAATAATTTGGGTTGTATATCTTTTGTAGAATTACTCACCATTTTAAGCTCAGTTTTCATAGTTACAAAAAGATTTATAGTATATTATATATATTGATATTAGTAGTTATACTGTATAGTATTACAGTATAACTACTAATATCAATTTATTTTAAATCATATAATTAAATAACATTATACAAATAATCTACAACATGCATGAAATTATTGTTTAATTTCTAGATAGGCATTTCCAAACACTAGGATTTTTATAAAATCTCAAACTCTGATTGGTTAATTTTAAAAATCTGCAAACAACTAGATAAGTATTATACAAAATTAATTAGTAATTTTAGACCAAATGCTAACAGGTATGGATTGCTTGTTAGTAGGCATGAATTGCCTGCCAGGTGCCAAAATAAATTAGTAAATTTATTATTAGATTCAGACCAAATGCCAATGGACATGGATTATCATATAAGTATTAGAAAATTTCAAAATTTTGATTTTATATTATGTTTTCAAATTTTTCACTTATATAAAAAATAAAAATGATATCATTACAAAATTCATGTTTTATGAAAAATTTTATTATTAAAATCATCTTTGTAATATTAGTAAAAAATATTTCTTTAATAAAATACATATAGTTTCATAATACAACTTTATTTATTTACTTAATAAAATTCTAAGTAATATGAGTTTTAGATTTTTTAAGGTTTTTACTATTTCTTATAAAAAAATAGCATTATATCAAAAATTATGTTTTTCAAACAATTTTCTTAAGACAATTATATTTGAGCTATTAATAAAAAATGTTTGTCTAGTGAAAACATATATAGTTTTATAGAACTAGTTTGCTTGTTTCATTAGTAAAATTTTAAAGAATGAGCTGATTTTGTCATCACAGCTTTTTTTATAAGAGGATTTGCACAGAAATATGAGTGAAGCTTCATTAAAAATCAAGACTATTTTATGAATATTTGTCTGTTTAACTTAAAATTTGAGATGAAAACTCTTAAAACTCATCTTAACCAACTTTATTATTATCATACAGTATGTTTACTTGAAGTATAATCTTCAAATTAATATAAACATTCTTGTAAACATTAAAATAGAAGATTTATATGTGTTTTTTAAATAAAAAAATTGAATATTTCTGCTAGGTTTTGATAAAATAACTTGAAATTTTTAGAGAAAAATATTATTAATATATTTAAAAAATCATATTAATGACTCTATAATGGTTTAGAATAAGAATAAAAAATAATGATATTAAATGATTATTGTTTTCATCAAAAATATAGATTCATCTATGAAACCAAAATAAAAATTAGTAATATTTCAATGAATATTAGGCCAATCATTCTGAAAATTTTTATTATAATAGAATAATATCTTCTCTACAAGTTTTAATAGAAGCATAAAATAGGTTAGAAACAGAAAAATTAATCCAAAGATAATTTTGATTGATTATTCTCTTAAAAAAAAAATTTATATATGTTTTTTTAGAAAAAAAAAAGTTGTTAGTTAATGAGTTTTCAATTAATATTGATAAAAATAGAGATTCTATTACTTCTTATAATGCTGAATAATTTTTATTAATACTAGAAAAATACTTGTCATAATATATTTTTGAATAAATTATATTTTTAACTTGACTATTCTCTTAAAATATAAAGAAAAATAGAGAAATTATACAATATAAAAATATATAAATCTTAATTACAAAAAATATAAAAAAAGATAAAAAATTTTACAAAAATTCTTTGTAATATAAAAATAATATATATAAACACTTCTATTGTTTTATATTAAATTTTAAATCATAATGGTTAACTGGTCAGAAAAATTTGAAAACTTTGAACATACTATCAACTAAATTAAAGTTACAAATTCTGACAAACCAAAATTAAAGTTAAATAAGTATCGTACAGTTCTGATTAGGGTTAGAAATAGCTGGCTCAGCTTAGTTCAGCTTAAAAAAGCTGTTAAAGCCAGCTCAAGCTGGCTCAAATTGGGTTTAATTTGTTTTTATAATTAATATTTTAATTCTAATTTAAAGTTTTTAAACTAGTTTGAGTTTAATATATTACTGTTATTATTTATAAATTGTATATAAAATTTTAACATAATATATTCTAATATTTTTTTATTAATTGACTAGCTGCAAACCTATTGCTATATAACAAAGAAAAAATTAATATTAAATATAATTATAAAAACCTATACAATTAGTATTTAATTAAATTTATTAAATTAGATATAATTTTAGTAAAATTTTTATTTAATTTAAGTATTAACAAATTATGAATATTTTAGTTATACAATTGTATTTATTTATATAGAGTAATCTAAGCATTACCTTGCAGCTAAATGTTACACACAAATTTTTTTATAATATAGTACTAGATGTTACCTGTCGCTTCGCTTCTGGTTTAAATTTACATATGTGATTTTTTCAGTCTATATTTATAATTAACTAAATATACTGTATATAACATTAATATAATGAAAAATGCAACATATGAGCAGCTAGTGGTTTAATGATGAAGTAAGTTCTATAACTGATAAAGAACGCTATAATTACATGTACATCACTAACTATAGTACTTCCAGAAGGTGGGTGCTATAATAGAGTGATACTTTATATAGCTCAATAAGATTTTCTGAATTATACCTATAAAATTTACCCTACTACAGTATTATGCGTAGTCGATTATTATTACATGATTGAAGAGATTATTTATATTAGTAATCTAAACATTATGCCATGTGAAACGAACGATTTTAATATAGTAGAGATAGTATGTAACCTGTCGCTTCGCTTCCGGGGTTAAATATAAAATATAAAGCGATACAGTAAAATGATCAAATAAAACTTTAACTTATATAAATACAGAATAAAATATTAAAAAGTTGTAAGTAGGAGATATGATTTAGTAATTTATAAGTGAGTAAAAATAATACGACAGAGTGAAACCACGTTGTGAATTAGTAAAATCTGCTATGCAGATAACATGAGGATGAAATCCGCTTTTGCATAATTAAAAACATTGCTAAACGTGGATTTCACGCTAACGTAATCTACATAGCGGGTTTTACTAATTTACGGCGCGGGTTTCACCCTCTCCTAAAATAATAAAAAAAAGGAATTTAAAAATCAAGTATAAAACAAAGATAAATAAGGCATGTTTTATTAGGTAATTATAAATTAATAGTAGAGATTAAAAGAATTAAAATGTAAAGGGTAATATAGCGTAGTATATATAATGAGAGTACGGAAGTTTTTGTAATATAAAGGAGACAGTAAAGTTAAGATTAATAAAGAAAAAAAACATGTAATAAAAAAGAAGTTAAGGTGATAAAAAAAAAATTAAATAAAGTGATAGTAGAAGTGAGATGATGAGTTGTAGAAAAAAAAAGTAAAAAAAAATATGAATACTTACATGAGGAGTGAAGAGAAGAAAAAAATATATGTCAACTATATTAAATAGATAATTTAAATCCTATTGAAATACTTTAGGATAAATGATGTTAGAAGTGAAGTTAGTATGATCTAATGTGTTCATATTTAGATTAACAATAAGAATTTTTAAATTTTGTAGAGAAGTAACTCTTGAGCAAGCGACATAAAGTTGTCCGTGAGAAAAGACAGGAGTTGGTAAATATAAACCAACTGAGTTTAAAGTTTGACCTTGAGACTTATTGATTGTTAGTGCGAAAGCGGGTTGGATAGGGAATTGGCGTCATATAAAAGTAAAAGGGAGATCAGTAGTGGAAGGCGACATTGTAATCCGAGGAAGAAATACATGAGTTCTAGAATATTTTCCACTCATTATCTCTGCTTCAATTACGTGCTTTTGAAATAAACAACATATTAATTTAGTTCCATTACAAAGGCCATCAGATGGACTTATGTTGCATAATAATATAATTGGTGTCTCTGGCTTTAGTATTAAGTAATGCGGTGAAAGGCCTCCAATAGATAATGAATTAAGAAATTCTACTGGATAAAGTCGTTGAGCATCAGGTTGGTTTTCAATTGTATCAGCGCTATGATATTCAGTAGTGGCTCCAGGAAATCGATCTAAGATTGTAAAATTAATAATATTAATATCATCATTTTTCAGAGTAAGTATTGCACGATTAGTTAAATAACAGAGATCAGAAAGAGTAGAAAAATTAGAATAAACAGAAGTAATAAGATCATTTAAACTACGAGATTTGAGAACAATATTTTCAGGAAGCAAAATAGTGTTGCTGTTTGGTCAATAGTAGGAAGTCGACCTTCACCAAGGTTAATAAGCCATCTAGACAATTCATCTTGCTCAATAGCATTAGTATGATTAGTAGCATAACGAAGATGCATATTAATTGTTAGGTTCATAGCAATAACATGTTTCCAGAGTGAGGAACGTCATAAACAGAATCCTACGATGTTTTCTCGCCTCCCTTTTGGAGCTACTGGAAGAATCTGGCGAAAGTCGCCTCCAAATACAACAACTTTACCTCCAAATGGTTGATTTTCTAATGCAGGATCTATAGCTTTCATCAGATCTTTTAAAGTTCGATCAAGGGCTTCAAACATATATCTATATGCCATAGGAGCTTCATTCCATATAATAATAATTGCTTTTTGCAAAAGGGAAGCAATATCAGAACCATGGGAGATAGAACAGGTTGAGTTTTCGTGTAGATTAATGGGAATTTTGAAGCAAGAATAAGCAGTATGGCCGCCAGATAATAACAGAGCAGCGATTCCGAATGAAGCAACAGTGAGAGCAATTTGGCCGCTTAGGCGAATTTTAGCAAGCAAAATGCTGTAGATATAGAAAAATAAAGAGTAAGTGGATAGTAAATGAGAAAAAGAAAAAAAAAAAACAAAAGAAAGAGAAAAAATAAAACATACGTATATAAAAAAGTTTTTCTTGTTCCTCCAGAGCCATTAACGAAAAGTACAGTAAAAATATTATTTTCAACAGCGGTTATAACTCTGTCGAAAATAGCACGCTAATCTTCATTTAACTGAGGAACTTTAGTTTCAACTATATGAGAAAGCTCTTCAGTGTTATAATTTAATTCTTCAGTAATTAGAGAGTTAGGTTGGTCAAAAGTAGCAGAGATAGGCATATTAGGAAAATTAGCAAGAGATTTGCCATGCTGTTGTAAAATAGACTATAAATGAGATAGAGCTTGATTTTGTATGTTAGTATCTGTAAGTGTATTATTGGTATTATTGATATTAAGAAAGTGAATATCTTTAGTAAGAAAATTAATATGCTTCTCCCAAAGATGTTCAGGACGTACAGGAGCACAAAATAAGAGAATGGTGGCGAATAAGTAGCATAATTGTGAACCTGTGTGAATTTGAGCAGCTTCAGCTAAACAATAATCCTATTCATCGTTATTATGGAATAGTCCTAAAGCATCACAAGCCTCTTTGAAAGTTGAATATAAAATTCTATTCACAGTGCGAAGGTGTGAAAAAGAAGTAGCACCTCTAACGATAGTAAGAAGAAGTCTTAAATAATATCGTTCACCCGATAAAGGGTGAATGAAATACATACGACCGATGACATTTCCACATTGTCTTGGTTTCCATTCATGAGTTTGGTTGTTATAAACCTATTGTGTTGGAAAGTTTGCGTATGTAAGATTTCTTGCTTTAGGATATTCCAAATTAGCATTAAACCAAGCAGTAAGTGTAGATTTCTCATTATTGCAATGGTCAACTATTTCCTCTATAGTGTCATCATCTCTACATGTAATCCTATGCTGGCCTGGAAGATGAACTTAAAGTTGAATGATAAACGGACTTCTGCCATGTAAAGAATAGTGAAATAATTGCCAAGAAGCTTCAGAGGCAGAGACATAGCGTGTGTCAAGGTACAAACTTATTTCATCATCTTTTCTCTATGTTCCTGTTCTTGTAGTTGATTTGTTAAATAGACAGTAGCACGATTGTGACCTTTATAAACATATTTAAAAAGATACTTTACAGCACTAATTGATGAACAAATCTCAACATTTATATGGCAATGATATTTAGTAGAAATATAAGGATTATATGGAACGACCCACCGATTGTCTAATATTGCTCCTCAAACTTCTAGAGTGCAATTATTATTTCTTCGTCTATATATAGGATAACTGTCATTATTAGTCATAGTAGTTTCTTGAAAAGGTTTCAGATATCTTTTAGTACATTTTTCATCCTTCATACATGGGGCAGTCGGGTTAAGTGCACTGCAGGGACTGTGCATCATTGATTGTTTAATAGTTTCAAATGTATAAGGATCACTATTTACGTCTGGAATCTCAGCAGATACGATTGAATCATAATCATCAATTGTCCTTGGCTTATATTCATTGGCAAGAATAATTAGCAGATATGCATGAGGTAGGCTATGTTTCTGGAATTCTATTGTATAATCGTGAGCTAATACTTTGCCAAAAACAGATTTTGTTAAAAGATCTTTAAGCAAAGCTTTTAGTTTCAAATTAAAAACCTGAGCAACTAAATCAGAACGATCTTGAGCAGATTGACCTAGAAGAAGTGAATTAGTAATTTCAGGCCATTGTGAATTACAGGTCATCGTAATAAATAAATCAGGCTTGCCAAATGCTCTCACAATTGCCATTGCATCTTGATAGAGTTGGTGCATTTGTCGAGAGCCTCCTGTAAAACTTGATGGCAAGATTACACGTTGTCCTATATTTGTCGCTTCTAATAATCTATCTCTTGTAAGAAGTGCATCCTGTAATCCACTATATAGCTCCGACCGAATTTTTTTCTGATTAAGTCTTAGATAGTTGAGGCACATTTGTTCGACAATTGCATATATATCAACTATCCACTGTTGAAATAAATGCCCAAACAAATGCAAAACTATTGCTTTACACAGATGGCCAAAATAAAGGCAATATGCGAAATAATTCATCACAGTAACGTATTTTCTAGAACTTACCTGTTCTCCCAGGCTGTGTAAAAAGTTATCATCAACTATAGGTTCCTGTATAGTCGATGCAGAAAGTGTACTGTGCTTGAGAGGAATATACGGATGCCAACCATCATCACCTCTAGGAAACATAAGGACATAGTGTAGTGGTTCATAAGCATGGTGTAACTCAGATATTTGTTGAAATCTTCCTTCACGCAAATGTAAAACAATATCACGTTGTAATGGTTCTGGTTCTTGTTCATTTCCAATCATAATAATGGCAACTTCAGCAGCACTCGGAGTATTATAGCGCCTGGGATCTTTCATTCTACTATCTGTAATTATTATTTTTAAATCTAAAGAAGAATTAGATTTTAAAATTTGGCTAGCTTGTTTAAACATTTTACTATATGGATTAAGTTCATGTAACATGTGCTAAAGATCTGCAAGAATTGACGAATCAAGGCCAGGCATCATGTTTATTCTGTTTTAAAGCTCATATTTTGTATCATATACATAGATTTGAGCAAACTGAGGGCTAGCATTGTAGTTAGGCAATATGTTACCTATATTATGATACATTTCATCATAAATACGAAAACTATATATTCCAGCAGTTCCTGTTATATTGCCATCAATCTTAGCTCCCATTGATGTAAAAGCTAAAGCAGAGTTATACATCCTAATATTCTGTCTAAATAAACGGGCAGACAAATCCATTCTAGTAAGAAGTGCATTTAGAGGAAAAGGCAATTCTTGTAAAGGAGGAAGCGAAATTTTGCCTTCTGCGCAGCATGTTGTAAAAATTGGTGAACGTATAAAAGAGCTTGCTTTCTTTCATCTATTCATAACAAAGCTCTACAATTGGAACATCTTCGATCCATATTTCCTAGAGAGTGACAGTTCAATTCTTGTGAGGACCATGAATAGACGCGTGCTTTTAATAAAGGAACTCTAACATGAGTAGAAACTCGAACTGGTATCAGAGAAGTATTGATAGGAGGGTTCACGTGAGTAGATACTTCGGCTTTAAGATTCATACTAATATTGGAAGTTAGAAAAGAAGGTAGATTATTAGTGATTTCATTAGAAAAACTTGCTATATTTTCTGGTTGTGTAAGTCTATTAGTTTCAGCAGTCATCTTTCTTTTTTTATTTTCTCGATAACGCTGTTGACATTCATGTTGAAGTCTTTTTCTGCGTTCTTTGGAAGTTTCAGACATAATTTACAGGTATAAAAAAAAATAAATGAGAAAAATATCTATTATATTAAATTATTCTTAGAAAACAAAAGTGAGAACTAATCAAGTAAAAATGCCAAAAAAAAGCTAGAACTGAATTTTTACGACGGGTGGTTTTAATATATAGAACATAAACGTGATAAGATGTTACATTAACATACAATGCACATGATACGATAGTACACTACCATCTAATTAGAGATCATCATTAACTTAAAAGTAAATCATTAACTTAAAGTAAATCATTAATGTGACTACAGTACACAGATCATCATGCTGTATTACAGAAAAATTGAAAAATTATTTATATAGGGTAAACTAAACATTACACCTATGTGAAAGTCTAACAATTTTAATATAATAGAGATAGATAATTTGTTAATTATTTAAAGAATAATTTTAATATAACATAATATATTTTTTATTATAAACAAAAATGCAATATATATTTATTTATAACTTTTTTTTATATTAAGTTAATAGTTTAGATCAATTAATTAAAAGTTATAGAACTCATTAAAATGCATTTAATGATAGTTAAATTATCTAAATTGGTTTAGTAGATGCTGAGATATCATCAAAAATAATTAATTAATTATATAAAATTTTATATAAACATATTATTATTTATATACATAATCAACCAATTATTTTTAATGATATCTTAATATCTACTAATCTAATTTAGATAATCTAACTATTATTAGATATATTTTTATAAGTTCTATAACTTTTAATTAATCAACTTATACTATTAACTTAGTATAAAAAAGTTTAAATAGATATATATTGTATATTTATAATAAAATATAATTAGTTTACAATATGACAAATTCGAATTTATCACTTTATGAATCAGTTCATAGAGTGACAAATTCAAATTTATCATTTCATAAATTAGTTTTTATAATGTAACAAATTCGAATTTATCACTTTGTGAACTGACACATGATATGATAAATTCGAATTTGTTACATTGTAAAAACCAATTCATAAAGTGATAAATTTGAATTTGTTACTTTATAAACTGATTCATGAAATGATAAATTCGAATTTGTTACATTGTAAACTAATTTATATTTTATTATAAATATACAATATATGTCTATCTAAACTT